TCATCTGCAAAGAGTGAGAGTTTGACTTCTTCTTTGCTGATTCGGAAGCCTTTTATTTCTTTTTGTTGTCTGATTGCCGTGGCTAGGACTTCTAGTACTATGTTGAATAGCAGTGGTGAGAGTGGACATCCCTCCCGTGTTCCTGATCTTAGGGGGAAAGCTCTCAGTCTTTCCCCATTGAGAATGATATTCGCTGTGGGTTTTTCATAGATGGCTTTTATGATATTGAGGTATGTACCTGGGAGAGGGTCAATTTTAATAGTCAATTCAATTTGCTGAACTCTCAATTAAGTGCCAAATTTAAGTCACGTACTGCCCATGGTTTAGAAACAGAAATAAATGTGTTGTAACCCCCCTCCTCACCCCAAGGAGTGGAAGAAATGGACTCTTCTCAGAATCCATTTTCTCCTTCTTCCTTTTAGTAATTAAACTTTGTTTTAGCTGGTATTCCTTCACCCAGCTTGAGACCACAATGAGTTGAGGCCAGGTGATGAAGTCTAGACCAATTGGAAAAGACAGAGTATGTATCCAGTATTTAGGTCATCTTCATAAAGGCAAGGGCACTTGCCCTAGGCTTCCTCTTCTCATTGGCTAGGGAAAAATGATCGACATGGTCACCATAGACTCAGTCACGGAGGCCCCAAATTCAGGAGGATGCCAGGGTCACCCCTTCCAACCTGGGCCCCTGCTCTGCTGCTCCAGATTGTTCCATGAGGGAGAAATTCATTTCTGTCTTCCTGGAAACACACTACGCTTGCTCAGGGCCATTCTAATACATATTCTTCAGACTAAAATTCTACCAAAATATAGTCATGCTCTAGCGGTTCCCATTTCAGTAAAACAAAGTAGCCTTCCCTCAAGCCCACATCCTCCATCGGCTATGACCATATTTCTCTGCTTTCCACTCCTAGCTTCTCAAAAAATTGTGTTGACCCTCACTGTCTTCTACTTCCTCCCTTCCCCTCTCCCTGCAAGGACTCCAGTCTGACTCGCACTGAGGTGGACAGTGCCATGGACTACCCACTCTCTTCTTTTCCCATCTCATCTCACCTCTTAGCAGCCCCAGCCCAACTTGTCAGCATCTTTCCCTCACCTGGGGTTCAGAACACACCACACCCTCCTGCTTTTCTCCCCCATCTCTCAGGCTACACCTTCTCATTCTCTTTTCCAGGCTACTTCTTACCCAACCTCTACATGTGGGAATCTTCTGGAAAACTCAGTTCAGGCTCTCTCCTCTTCTCACTTGACATTTTCTCCCAGCTATTGCTATGCTTTCCCAGGGCTTTAAATACTTCCTAGAAGCCAACTGCTTATAGATT